ACACACACAGACACACACCCCTCGAACACTGTGTATATACACACACACACACACAGAGACAGACAGACATGCACACAGACACACACACACAGACCACGAGCACAGTCACACTGTACGCAGGGCACACAACAAAAACCATGCTGGTCTTCACCAACATTAAACTCAGTGCTTCCCAAAAGACATTTCCCTGATAAACACAACACACACAAATTTCACAGAGTTGCCATGGCAGCAATTGGGTTGTCACATAGCAGTGGGTGGATAGTGAGTGGTTCGGGTGGGTCACGTCTGGGGAGGGGGTGTTTAGGCAGAGGAAGTAGCTTGGGAGAAACTGGTTGGAGATGGGTGCATTCGGGGTGATGTAGTCAGGGAGATGAGTGTCTGGGAGGAAGGGAGTGATTAGTTGGAAAAAGGAGTTATTTAGCAGAAGGGGCACTTGGAGGGAATGGTTAGGGGTAACTAGTCAGACAGGGAATGTTTGGAGAGTGATAAGTAGGGGGAGAGGAGGGTTCTTTGGGGATTGACCCATGGGGGATGGGGTTTGGGGAGCGATTCGGTGGGAGAGGGGGTGTTTGGGGAGTGACCCATTGGGGGAGAGGAGTATTTGGGGAGTGACTCACTGGGGGAGGGTGGTGTTTGTACCTGCGGAATTGATAGTCAAAGTGCAGGAGGGGGTCTGAGCACAAACTAGTCACAGAGGGAGAGATCAGATAAAACACACTTGGGAATAACTTTGACAGAATCCATCTTCTCCTTTTCCCGCAGGGTCTCAAGGTCTTAATATTTACCTTACAGTCGCAGAAAGTGACCTGTCCAATCAAGTCAGGATGTCAACTCACCTTTGTGAATTAAACAAAACTGAACTGAATTTTCACAGCATTTTCCACTCTGTGACCAGTGAAGTCTTTGTGGGACTTGGGCACAGAATTGCGGGTGAGAGGACACTGAAACTGCGTCAGAGCCAACACTGGTCCCAACTCTGTAAAGGAGCAAGAGAGTTACTTTCACAGGACATATACATTGAAGCAAGTGCAGAAAAGTGATTTACCGCAGTAGAATCTTCTGCCCAACTGCAGTTATGTTCGACTCCACCACAGGCCAGACCTTATTGACATTCTCCCAGTCACTCATTTTCCAGACACCAGTGCAAAGACTTTAATGCTCCAAAGAAATGCCAGGAGTGATTCTGGCTGCAGAGGCAGACTGGACCTTTTATACCTTGCTGAATGCTCTCTCCCTCCTCCTATCAGTCAGCCAATCCCCTGCAGCTTAAGCTGCCTATTTTAAGCTGTATTGCTGCACAGGTATGGAAGAGTTTGGCAAGTCCTTATCAGAGACTAACAGTACTGAGCAGTTGGCAGGTCAGTGAGAGGACTAACAGACACCCCACACAGCCCCAGCTCTTCATGCAGACCCTTCCAATCTCCACAAGTGACTGGCTTTATCTTGTTGAATGACAGGAAATGTGACATCTGCTTTCGCTGGAAGCCAGGCTGTCAGTTTACAAAGGATTTCAACAGGATAGCATCAAAACTCAGGCTCCGGGCTTAGAGAATTGGCCACATTGAGTGGGGGCTGCACAAAGATTGTGTTCAGTTAACACTCACCCTGATGACCTTGTGCACATTTTGGAGTATTCTGCATTCTTGTGTTGATACATACTTCTTTTCCAGGAACATGCTTTATTTGTGGTGTCTGTTGATTTTGGGTCAGAATGGACTGTGCCCAGGACATACGTTGCTTTAGTTATAAACAGATACAACAGCTAAAATTTGACATTACAGAGACTATCATCTCATTTCTGTTCACAAATTCTGAGGTACCTCACTACAGTTACTGCTAACTGCTTATAATTATACACATTTAAATTTGTTGTCAATCACACAGCCTAAGGGGGTCTACAGTCCCTAGCCCCTTGGTGCTCTGTACCCAAAAGCCCTCAGTCAGAGATAGTAGGAACTGCAGATGCTGGAGAATCCGAGACAACAAGGTGCAGGGCTGGATGAACACAGCAGGCCAAGCAGCATCATAGGAGCAGAGAGGCTGACGTTTCGGCCCTCAGTCAGTGGTCTTTCCCTACTGCCCCTTGGCAGCAGCTGCCCCAAGCTTTAGTGTGTCCCTCAGCATGTAGTCCTGAACCTTGGAATGTGCCAGTCTGCAACACTCGGTCAGCATCAGCTCCCTGTTCTGGAAAACCATCAAGTTTCGGGCAGACCAAAGAGTGTTTTGATGGTCTGAGTTGATGGTCCTCTAGGTGCAGCTGATGTTTGTCTCAGTGTGCATCCCGGGGAACAGACCGTAGAGCACAGAGTCTTGTGTCACGGAGTTGCTCGGGATGAACCTTGACACAAACTATTGCATCTTAGAACATAGAACATAGAACATAGAACATTACAGCGCAGTACAGGCCCTTCGGCCCTCGATGTTGTGCCGACCTGTGAAACCAATCTGAAGCCCATCTAACCTAAACTATTCCATCTTCCTCCAGACTTCCTTTGCAAAGGCACATTCCAGCAGGAGGTGTATAACAGTCTCAATGCCCCTGCAGCCGCTTCGACAGCAGCGTGCAGTGGTGCAGTCTGTCAGGGTGTGCATGATGGCTCTCATGGGTAGTGCTCTTCTCACCACCAGCCAAGAGATGTCTTGGTGCTTGTTGGAAAGGTTTGGTGTTGAGACTTTCTACCAAATGACTTTGACAGTCTGCTCAGGGAACAATCTGATAGGATCCACCCCCTCCTTTTCCCACAGGGTCTCAAGGATACTATGTGCTGACCACTTCCTGATGGACTTGTGGTCAAAGGGGTTTTTCTCCTGCACTGTCTGTCATGTCGTTTGGTCTGGTATAAAAGGATTTGTTGATCCATGGGATGTAATTATGTGATGACTTTGCCTCCTGTTGACATTGTCCAGAGCAAATACCTGAGCGGGAGGCCTCCTGCAGAAAGCTCATGCATCCCTGGGTCCTGGCAGGCACTCAGACAGCTCTATCTCGGTAAAGCTGACTACAAGTGAGGGAACAAGTGACTGAGCATAAGACCTGCATTTCTAAAGCACCTTTCATAACCTCAGAGAGTTTTACAAAAAAAAATACAGTTCAAGTTTACTGTCTGTTACAGTATAGAAAATTTGGGGCAATTTTGTGCACAGAAAGATCACAAACAATTTAACGGCCTGGTTATCTGCTTCTCTGTTGGATGACGGATATATATGAAACCTAAAGATGTTGAAGCAGAAGAAGGCTATGCAGCCCATCAAGTCTGCTCTGCCATTCAATGAAATTGTGGCTGATCTGATCATCCTCAACTCCACTTTCCTGCTTTCCCCCCATAACCCTTACTGATTAAAATCTGTCAATCTCAGCTTTGAAAATACATAACAAACCATCCTCAACAGCTTTTTATGGCAGGGAATTCCACAGATTCACTTCCGAGAGATGAAATTTCTCCTCATCTCTGTCTGAGGTGAGCAACCCCTTACTCTGAGATGATGCCCTCTGGTTCTAGACTCTCCCACAAGGGGAAACAATTTCGCTGCATTTTCCCTGTCAAGTCTCCTAAGAATCTTGTATGTTTCAATAAGGTCACCTCTCATTTTTCTAAATTCTGCTGAGTACAAGCCAATTTACCCAACCTCTCCTCATAAGACAGTCTCTTTATCAGCTGAGTGAATCTTCTCTGGACTGCCTCCAAGGTCAGAATATCTTTACTTAGATAGGGGATCCCAAAACTATTCACAGTTCTAGCTGCAGCCTGACTATTGTTTTGTACAGATTTAGCCAAATGATTCATTGATGAGTACTCCTAAATCCCTCACAGTGCTGTAACTTTCTGCAGTGTTCCTCCTTTAAATAATATCCAGCTGCTCTATTCTTCCTGCCAAAGTGCATGATCTCACATTTCTCCACATTACATCCCATCTGTCGAGATTTTACCCATTCACTTAACCTGTTTATATCCCCCTGTTGATTCTCTGTGTTGTCCTTACTACTTGCCACTGATTTTTATATCATCCATAAACTTGGCTATAATATTCACTCTCCTCATCCAAGTCATTAATATATATTGTAAATAATTGTGGTCCAGCACTGATCCCTGTGGTGATCCACTGGTTACAGGTTGTCATCCTGAAAACGCCCCATTTACCTCTTTTATTAGTTAGGTAATCCTCTACCAGGCTAATGTATTAAATAGTGCATGGCACTGTATGTGCCCACTTGAGAGTGAAGACAGAACCTTTGCATAGGGTCTCATCTGAAAAACCGCACCTCTGACAGTGCAGCACTCTCTCAGCACTGCACAGCGCTGTCATCCAGAATGAAGGACTGAAATGTCTGGAATGGGACAAAAATCTCCTAAGCTCCTGACTCGGTGACAAAAGCACTTCCACTATTGAGAATCCCATTTTCTCTTAGTTATAATGAGGCCATTCAGCCCATTGAGCTCATACTGGCTCTGCAGAGAAACTTAATTAGTCTATCTCTGCTGCTCAAATCCTGCTGGTTTATTTAATGGAATGGTTAGGGCGTGAAAAGAGGCCTTTTAGCCCATCATGTTTGTTCTAGCCCTCAGCTGCTCTACATCCCTTGCTATTTCCTTCTCCCTGTAATTTTTGTCAGATAATGATCCAATTACCTTTTGAGATTGGGCAGAGCTGTGCAGATCTGAACTACTTGCTGCCTCATGATTTCATGACAAAGTTTCTCAATCACTTTCATCCAACACCCTCTGGTTCTTGGTCTTTTCATCAATGGGAGCAGATTCTCTCTGTCCCCTCTGTCCAAACCCCCCATAATTTAAAAACAAATTGATCACATCCCCTCTCGCCCTCCTTTTTTCCAAGGAGAACTGTCCCAGATTCTCTGATCTGTCGACATGTTTGAAGTCCTTTATTCCTTGAACAATTCTCATAAAGCTTTTCTGCTCCATCTCAAGATCCCTCACAAGAGGACACAGCTGAGATCAGTATTGAAGGAACGTCGCACTGTTGGAGGGTCAGTGCTGAGGGAATGCTTCATTGATGGAAATGGCATATTTTTGGTGACATTGTTTTGCGGTAAAGTGTCTCAGACAATGTTGGAAGCAGTCCCTTGATCCGGAGAAAGTTTGATGTCCACTGGTTCCAGTTTTCACTTCACTCTGTCTTGCCAGCTCCTGCTCACACACACAATCCACCGAATGAGCAATTAAACCAAAGAAAGTTGGTGCTTGATGGTTTGTAACCAATCTCAGAGTGAGGCCAAAAACAAAGTTGCTGGAAAAGCTCAGCAGGTCTGGCAGCATCTGTGAAGATGAAAAAAAAATTAACATTTTGCGGCCAGTGACCTTTCCTCAGAATAAGTGAAGCCACTCAGCCCATTGTGCCTATACTGGCTCAGCTCTCCAATTTGTGTTTTTATTCATTCACAGGCTGAGAGCATTGCATTTACTGCCCGTCCCTAATTGCCCAGAGGGCAGTTAAGTGTCAACCACATTGCTGTGGGTCTGGAGTCAAATGTAGACCAGACCAGGGGGACATTAGTGACCCAGATGGGTTTTTCCTGACAATCATCATCAGTTTCCTGATCATCATTAGGCTCTCCATTTCTGATTTTCATTGAATTCAAATTCCACTATCTGCCTTGGTGGGATTCAAACCCAGGTCCCCAGAACATCACCTGGGTCTCTGGATTTAAAAGTTCAGTGATAACACCACTAGCCCATTGCTTCTCGTTAATCACACTCCATGGCTGTGGCCCTTTCACCTTAAAATAGTTTTCCTGTTTGAGTATACATCCAATCCTTATTCCTCTCAAATCACAGTCACATAGACTCAGCAACAACCCTCCCATCACCCACCAATGTATGAAAACTTTTATCTTAATCATCTTCAATCTATGTCCTCCAGTTCCCGATCCTTCATCCTAGAAACTGGGTCCCATTCCTCAAAAGCTCTGATGTATTTTTCAAAGTGAGAGATAAGACACAGAGGGCACCTGTTGTCCTCTGTCACATTGTTTATCTCCAAGCGCTGCGCCTGTATTCGACACTTCACACCTTGGGCACATTTCTGTTACCCTAATCTGGCAATCATGACCTCACACTGGGCTGGAGCTCAGACCTCAGGCTTGTCACCCAGGAATGTTCAATAACTCAGTGGGAGACAAGCTCTTCAAACCAGCAATCTGAAAACGT